TTTAGAATATTCTTCTCTGATGTTATTACTGAGATGGGTGTTAGAAGAGAAAGCATGAGTGTTGGGTGCTTGCCTCCACTCAGTGCTGAAGAAAGGGGTGGCTGTAATTGTATCCAGGGTGGAAACAGCGAAATTCAGGAAGCTGATTCACAAAAATGCATGTACTGAATGCTTTTTCCAAAGCATAGGCTAAGTTCATACTCTATGCCAGCAGTGAAAGCCAGAGGCCAAGGACCAGTGTTTTGTGCAGCTAGTGGAGTTTCCATCAGCTGAGGTGCAGAGAAAATAAGTAGCTTCTCTGCATCTTGTCCTGTATTGTTTTGACACTGTGCTGAAACTGTGACCACGAGCAGCTGTAACTATCCACTGATCCTGCTTCCTCTACAGCCACTAAGGAATGCAGATATCCTCAGTGTTTGCTGTTAGGATCTTCTTCCCATGCTTATTCTGAAATTTTGGTTAGTTCCCTTAAGTCAGATGTTTCCATACATTTTCCAATTCAGATCCAGAGAAACGTTTATTATGCTTATTAGTTCGATACATATTGCTTTCCTGCAAGGAGTTTTGAACCAAGATTTCAGCAAATCATGCAGGAAGTAGTTTTCTTTTTTTCTATTTTATCAAACTTTGGCATTTCTTATTTCAAGAAAATTGAAGTGAATAACTATAAAAACCAAAGGGACCACTTATTTCATCTTCTAATATTCTAGTATCTCAACTGTCCTTAAAGAGCGTTTGTAGCCAGTTGGCTGTCTCCATTTTGTTTTCAGTTCAGAACAATTTAATTGTAAATTTATTTGCAAAGGTTTAAGAGCACCAGCTTTCTATTTAGCCATATAGGAATAAAGTGAACAGAATGATACCTATGATCTCTCCCCTGACTTGACACAGAAGCTTCCATTATTGGTCTTTCCACTTCATCCCTCTGTCCTCTTGCACCTAAATTCCAACTTTCTCCCAGAGCCTTTGCTGTCTGTCAGGCCTACCATGCATGTGGTCCCACCTCCATTCTAAGCACTCCCCACTTTCCTAGCACTCTTCATTAATGTGTCCCAAAACTGCTTTTCATGTGCTGCCACTGTTTCCCCCCCAGTTAGCAATGCTTTCCATAATTTGTTTGTTTGCATTCACACTAGACAGGTCATTAGCTTAGTCTTCTACTTGACTAAACTAAGTTGGGAGCAATTTACGCATACAGTTCCCTCATTTTGTAGTCCTGATACCCATGTGCATATAGATGTTCAATACCAATAAAAAGGTCTGCAAGGATAGGGTAGAAATATCTGCTCATTCTTGGAAGAAAAAGGTTAAACTAAAAATGTAAGGTAGGAAACCTCCACTGTACTGGGGAAGGGTTTCACGTACTGTTACCCCTTTGCTATCAGCTAAGTCAGAGCAGAATGGCAGAGACTCAAAGTAAAGATACGAGCAGCTGGGATTCCGCCTGTTCTGCAGGGGATGTTTCAGAGCTGCTCTGGTTGGGTCTTGCTCTCAGTTCACCTCGTATCAGCTGAGAGGCCATTAAAGTGAAAATATAAACTGCAAGATAGCGTGATGTGACATGTTTTATTTCAAGCTTGTTACACCAGTAATTGTTACTGCAAATAGCTGTCATTCCCACCAGTGTTTGCTTTTTGTTGACAATGAAGAAAACTCATTTGTTTTATAGTGTGAAGCTTAATTTACTTCATGGTTGGTTTCTTTCTTTGCCTGTCAATCCCAGATCTCAGAGAAATAAATGCAGTCAGATTTATAGCAAGCAGAATGAGCTGTAACTAAACTGCCAGGACAAAAACAGCAGCTTCTTAGTGATAATGAAGGGGATTTTTTTTGGAAGGCATGGAGGATCAAAAACTCCTTCTGAATCGCATTAGCCGTGACTGCCAGTCATGGAATGTACCCAGATTGGCCAGTGATCTGTGGGTATTTGCTCTTCAGTTCTACTTTTTTATTATTAGATTGGACAACTCCAGAAGGTTTTAACTCTGAAGCTGACCATCTGCTGGTCTTTGGCCATTTGTCTGTCCAACAGCCATCCCCTCATATGATACAAGGACACAATTATACCTGTGTGAGGAGTATGGGGAAGAGAAAGCCCCACTCTTTAACAGATGTAGAATTGCAAGGGAAATCTTTATGGTAGAGATTCTATTCTTGGAAGAAGTCTCCAGGGTGTTCAGTTAATCCCATTCAGGACTCTTTCACCAATGATTTAAGGAGGACTTCTGTAACATGCGTCAGCAGCAGGAGGATTTGTCATACAACAAACATTTCCCAGGGTAGTTAATATTCTAAAAGATGTTTAAAGTATTCAGGCCAAATAGATCTATATAGAATGACATCAGAGCTGCTCCAAAAGTAATGCCTCCTATTTTATTATGTTGGCCCACAATGTCAGAGGCAAATATTGAGGTTGAACCTTCCCACCAATATTCCATTACATGTTGCTGCTGTGTGACAGATGGCAGCAGAGGAGCAGTCTGACAGAATGGTGTCTGACATGGAAGTGTGGATGAAGTAAAGGGGTGCAACTGAATTCCTTCATGTGGAAAAAAATGGCACCCATTGACATTCATCTATATTTGTTGAACGTTTATGGAGACCAAAGAGTGGATGTGAGCCCAGCAAGGTGGTGGTTGGTGCATTTCAGTAGTGCTGACAGTGACAGTGGGGCACCGATGCTGGTGCAGATTTTAATAAGCATGGCATACAGGGTCTTGTTCATTGGTGGTGAAAACGCATAGCTAATGGTGGTGCCTATGTTGAACAAGAGTGTTTGGCAGCTGAGAATTTGCTCTATCAAACAGTATTATTGTGCTCTTTGTACTGGTTGTAGTTTCCCTGGAAATAAATAGGAGGCATTACTTTCAGAGTAACCTATGTATCTAGTAGTGCAGACAGTGAAAAAAGCAAACAACAGAAACCCCAAAGCATCCAAGTTTTTTTCTTCACTATCAAAGTAAACCAAGTACTGGATAAATGTTTCCCGAACACACAGTTGTACAGAATCCTTTGAAGCAGACCTCACAGTCCTGTACCAGAGCAGAAGGTCCTCCAGCAGTTGGAGGCTGCTCCCCAGAGGGAGCTGCAGGAGAAGGCAGTGCTAAGCAGTGTGTTTGTAGTTGGAATGGAATTTTATTAAATGCTGGTGTAAGATCCAGTTGAAACACCGTGGTCATGATTTCTGCAGGAGTACATTAAAATATGTTTTGTTTAAGTGCTAAGTTAGAATAGGCCTTCAAAGTGGATAAGCTTTCCTGGATATTCTAGCCTATTACTGCCAAAGATGAAAATCTAATTAAAACCAGGCAGATAGGAAAGCACAGCCACAACTGGAGACTCCATCCAGCAGGAGTTCCTGCTGTTTGCTTTTACTTTGCATAACCCAAAGGCATCCAATTAGAAGATGAATCAAGAAATTAATGTATCACTTGTTAACACAGTATCATTTATTGGTTTTGTGCTTTTCCTCATTTCCTTGCTTACTGGTCTGTTGTGACTCTTAGTGTCTAGATTCACCTAGTACTGCATCTGCAGTGTTCAATCCACTTCTTTCAGAATCTCTAAGCTCACCCATAATAAGCATTGTTAACAACAAAAGCATGCCCACATACAGGTAATGCAATGCTCCTGTCACTGCATGAACCACTGGTACAGGCTTTTATCTCATGTCCAAGTTTGGGTCAAATAACCATTGAGCTGTGCACTGCTAGCTCTCAGGTGTCCATGCAGTACAGCCATAGCCAGTGTGAGCCTGTCTGCCAGCACCTCTGGCAATTGCTGTGCTCTGCACAACGCGTTCGTCTCTTGCCCTCATTCAGAGAAGCACACTCCATACAGCTCTGTTGGCTGGCTGGTATTGCACATATTGTCTCAGCTGCTGCAGACAGGCTGCAAGTGTTTGCCTGCAGGCCTCAGTGGTGCTCAGACTAAAAAAAGTCACTGATTACAATCACCTACTCTCACTTCAGCAAGAAGTAAATATCACAATTGAAATACATATTAGACCTAGGATGAAAACTAGGATAACTCTGCAAGTTGCAAAAACATTTATAGAAACTGTGAGAATTTAAAGCTGCAGAGTTCTATGTGTGTACTGACCTTTAGATACTACATGAACAATGCCTGGATCTTGGCAAACAGCAGCCTGTAAGGGAACTGAATGCAAGCTACTTGTCATGAATAATCCCATCCTTTTCCTGAATTGTGTGGTGCCTTGAACTTTAAGCATCTAATAGAAAGAAGATGGAATTTGGAGGGAAATTACTAGTTTAAAGTAATTATCTTCTTTACTAGTGGTCAGAGCTGGCTGAATTCAGTACAGTTAAGTGCTGTAAACCTGCTTACATGTACAGTTTGGTGTGCAGCTGTGACAGAATAAAGCTTAAATTACTCATAACGGAAACCAAAAGATCCTGCCTGGCAGGCACTGCACAAGAACATCCATCACTATACCAACTAACTGTGGCTGTAAATAAAGCAGATAAAAACTAAGTAGATAGAATTTAAAAACCTTTAAAAAGTCTAAGGAAAATTAGAAACAATATAATTTAGATTTTGGACTGAACATCTTCTTTCTCCTCTTTGCTCTCCCATCCCCAGATAAGCAGCTCTTCAGTGACCACCAGTAATCACTGCCTTTGTTGCTGCATATTCCCCCATGGGCTGAACTTGATGATCTAAGTACAGTTAAGGATTCAAAAGGCAAAGTATAATAAAGGTTGAGTTTCATTTATGTATTTAATACAGGTAAGAGTGTAGGGGAATACTGGCAAGAGCTCAAGGAAGGAGAAAAGCTTTACTGTTAAATTAAAATTTACTTTTTTTTTTTTTTTTTTTTTTTCTTTTTCTTTTTTAAAGGCAAAATTTGGCATTGCATCTACAGTTATGTGTGCTTTCCAAGGTCTTGCAGGTTTCCTTTCCCACCACGTATCTCCATTCTGGGAAAGGAAAAATCCATCTTCTTAAATAAACAGTTTCCTGTCAGGTTACAGACTCACCACATCCATGATCTGCATGAGGCTGAGAGTGAAATAGACAGTGAGCGGCTGGGAGTCATTCGCAACTGGTCGTTCCAGAGGGTTGTAGTTCTTCAGCAGCTCCTTGTACAGCTTCCTTTGGAACTCTCCTTGCAGGGACTCTTTGGGCATAGGAAGAGAGAAATCATTAGGATTCTGCATTGGAAAGTAAGGCTCAGACGTACGTTCTTACCATTCTACCAGATATTATGTAGCTATTATTACTTTACATGCTGCATTCTTTGAAAAACAATTCATGTAGTTCATCAGTGCAATGGCAAAATGTTTTGCCGAATGCATTACCACTCTTTTCATCCCAAGGGGGATTTCCCTTCTTGGCTGACCAGCAACGGTAAACTCGAAATGGCACTGCCCCTTTGTCAACGCACACACTTCGGTGTGGCAGTGAGGAGCGATGAGAAGGCAGTGCAGTGCATTTTGGCACTTGCCCTGGCACAGCTATAACCAGGGGGGCAGAGCACAGGTATGGCAGGGAGCATCAGCAAGACAGTGGAAGAAAAATGGCTCCTGGTGAGGGCTGAGCCTTGCACCCCGACTGCTTCGGACTGAGAACTCTTCGGGCGAGTACTCTGCTCTGTTCTCTGTGCAGTCAGCTATCAGCAAAGCGTGGGTACCGGATCCCTGGCAGGGATGATAGGTGCTACATTAACGTACGTGGTAATATTCAGGGATTTCTGTCCTATCGAATCCAGGGAGGATCTTTATTCTGCCATTTTCTATGGAGGGAGAAGGAGCTCTGCACGGATGGAGCAGCACAGACCGGGCACAGAGGCAGTTTCGGGAGGAAAGGAAATCTGGGTCAGAGAGGAACAGGTCCTCTAACGTGCCCGCTCCCGTCCCCACTCCAGACAGTTTCCTCTCATTTTCGGTCCCGAACTTCCCCCTGTAAAGCAGCAACGGTGCCCTGGGGGAGTTTGTCCGTCCCTCTCCCCGCTCCGTCCCTCTCCCCGGTCCGCTCCCGGCAGCGCGGGGCCGCGGTGCAGCGAGGTGCCTCCAGCCGCCGCGCCCGCTCCCGTGCCCGGCCGTGCCCGCGGCCCCACTCACCGCGCACGAGCCCCGCCGCCGCCAGCAGCCACAGCATCAGCGCGCGGAGGCCCATTCCGGGAGCCCGGCAGCAGCCGGAGCCGGGAGCCTCCGTCGCTGCCGCGGACCTCTCGTCGCCCGGCCCCCTCCTGCGCCCGCGCGGGGCTCTCCCTGCGGTGCCGGCTCCGGCAGAGCCCGGTGCCGCCCGCTGCCGAGGTACGGCTGCCCTGCCCGCGCTCGGCGCCGGCCGAAGCGGGAGCGGAGCCGCTAGCGGGAGGTTACCGCGGGCGGAGCGGCGCGGCGCGGCGAGCTCCGGCGTTATAGAGACCGGAGCGGGAGCCCCCTCCCCGTGAAAGCCCGCCCGCAGCCCCGGCAGCCCGCCCCGCCCCGCCCCGGGCTGCCCCCGAGCGCTGCCCGCCCGCGCCGCCCGCAGAGGGAACGGCGGCGGCACCCCGGATCCCCAGGGCCCGGTGGGAGCCGGATCCCCAGGGCCACCCTCCCTGCTTACCCCCTCCTCATCCCGGGGGCTCGGTCTTTCTCCCGTGCGGTGCCATCAACAGCGGCTGTCATTGCGGAAAGCGGCCCCAAGGGCAGCAAGTGACCCGGGCGGGAGAGCGCCTGTCCGGGCTGAGTGGAACAGCGGCAAGGAAACAGTGTGGGGCTCCAGGTGGGAATTCAGCTTTGCTGAGGTCTTGGAGAGGAAGGAGGTAGGCAAAACGAAGTACTCTCCCAAAGCACGCATGGCTGCTCAGTCCTCAGCAGAGGTGCAGGGCTGTGGGGTCAAGTGTGCACTGGTTCGTCCATATACAGAAAAAACAACCCGTGCTGAGGAGTGCTGTGTTTAGCACTTGACAAACACGGAACTGAGTGAAATGCTGCCAGAATTCCTGCCTGGTGTAGGTGCACCCTGCAAGCTGGAAAGCAGGCCCAGAAAACTCAGTGCGTTTTGGTGATCATCAGGTTCCCATTTGCACTGACATTTGTGACAGTGTGTAGGTGGTCAGCCCAAACCCCGAATCCCCAGTCTTCAGCTGCTGCATTAAACGAAGATCCAGGCAGCTGCATTCAAGGGAGGATGCCAATGAAGAGCCTCCCCTCTGCAAGAGATAAACTTCTTCCAATCACCCAGCAAACAGCAGGTGATTAGCCCATGTTCATTCCTAGATTTTAAAGTCCAGGTAATTTGTTTTAATGTGTTAAGTGCTGATCTAACTTATGGAGGCACTGTTTAAATGTTTTTACATGTTGAGCTCAGGACCAGATGAACGGAGGCAGCCCAACACATGCATGCCTCGGTCATTCGGGCACTAAACATGGCACAGTAGAACCATGCTGCTTTGGAATGAGCCAACCTGAAAATCAGCAAGTGGCAACAGTAACTCTCCTAAAGACCAGCTCACATGGGAACATACCCTGATAGAATTCTCAGGTGGTTATTGTTTTTCTAGGTTGAGTTTTATTTTAGTTTCAGGGCGGTTTTTTTGTTTGTTTGTTTGTTTGCTTGCTTGTTTTCTGTGCGATGTTGACCTTCCTGGAACAGCTAGCAAAGAGGAGGAATGTGTTGCTAGGAGCTCCATGTTCCTGTCTGAGCAGCCGAGTGTTATCCATTTGTAATGAAACCCTTACCTGGCAGTGCTCTGAGCACCTGGCTTTTACCTCTTCTTGTTTTGGAAGGGAACTCCCTTCCTCTTCCTCCTGTTATCTTACTGCTGTTACGGCACAGATACCTCAGATTATTTCTAGGTGGACAGTCAACAGCAGAATTGTTCAGACAGCAAATTTGGAGAGGAAATGTACAGTTCAAGGCTGACCTCTGCTGTTGGCTCATTTTGCTCTGCACATTGTTTTGTTGACAGCTGCCTCTCCCCAGCTGGTGAAAGCAGGATCACAGTGAAAGCACTGGGAAGCTTGCACAGCCCAAGGTCCTCAGGAGCCCTTCTCTTTAAGCCACATCAGCCTCCATCTCCAGACTTGCTTGCACCAGACCTCTCCCTCTCCTTGCTTCTTTGTTCCTTCTAGGCCACACAGCCCAGAGGAGGTGGGCTTGCTGCCTCACAGAGCTGCTGTGATGGGGCACCAGTGCTTCCAGGAGTGTCTGTATTGTACAGCAACTGGGAGTGCAGAGTGGAAGTACTCAGAGCCGTACTGCTAAGGTTGCCTCTTTCCTCCTCCAGCTCACTGGCCAGGAACTCATATTCAGAATGACGTCTTCTGAATTATTACTTGTTTAACAATAGGAAATCTATTAGAATTTAGTAGGCTTGCATAAAATAACAGTCTGTGGCCAACAGAGTCTCTGTCCTCAGCCTCCAGCTCCTGCAGAGATAGAGTCCCATTCCTCCCTGAGCTTTAATTCTTCTTTGTGTTTGCATTATCCAGCCAGATGATTTGGAGAGAGCCATCACCTCTCCTCAGATAAAGCTTTTCTAGATGCAATGATGAGTGCAAATTCATCTCACAATTACAGGCTGTAAAAACTGCTGTGGGACTGCCACCACTTCAGGGTTTTTGCCTGAGTATGGACAAGCCCTTAACAGTTCATTTGCCATGCACGTTGGACATAATTATACAAGGCAACTGTGCGCCTGTCTTGCTTGTGAATACCCAATATATTCGCAGAGACAGCAGTAAGCACAGATCATACATCTTCACAGGAAGGTCAGGCATAAGAAAATGCTTGTGGCGATAGCATTTACCTAATGTCAGTGTGCTGCTTTTTGTTCCTTTATTAGGTAGCAAAGAAGTGCGTGCATCTTGTGCAGAAGGCACACATCCTCACTTGGGTACCATTTCGGGAGTCTGAGTGAGGCACAAAGCAATTGCAGAAACACATTGGCATTTTGAATTTGTGACTCTATAGAAAAATAAGATATTTCCCAGTTTTATTTATAGGGCTGATCTAGGACATTGGTAAGTTGAAAGAACCGGGGACTGAAGCTCATTAAGAGTGACTCATGTGGTCATTACAAGATGTTGCAGTTGTCCAGGGATTGTAATATTCCCCAGTGTGAGGAATAGCCTTGTTTTCTGTCTGCACCGGTTACAGGCAAGCATGCAAAAGCATACAGCTGCCTCCTGTGATGGAAGATGTTAAGACAGCCCTGAGCTTCGGCTGGGAGAAGTGACCATCTCATACACAGTCTGAAAGTGCCTGCAGTGCTTTCTGACTTTGATCTAATATTGTGAAATTGCGTGGGCCCAGGGCTTCCATGGGCAAAAAAATCTGCTTCTCCTTCTTTTAGGGAAGAAGGAAGAGTAGGCAGGGATTTCAATCGGAACTTCCAGCAACTGTTAGATGAGACATGCCTACATTTATTTTAAAGTTACTCAAATTAAACTAATTACCTCTTTGATTGTTGCCTTCATTTTTGGATTCTTATGTAGTGTTAGTAAAGGAGTCTCATGTTATTAGTTACTCCCTCTTGTTTATTTTTCACAAGTAATAATCTCACTGGCGGGGAATGTATCTGTGATGACTTTGATTTTCTTCTGTACCTTGAAAAAATGGCCTGAATTCTTTGCCAAGAGGTAGCAGATAGCTTTGGTGATGACTTTTCCACTGAAGGACAAATTAGTGCTTTGAAATCTGGTTATTTTTGTAATTGAACTTATTTTCTATACATCCAATCTCAAACAGAAGTTCATGAAGGTTATCTCTTTCTAATTTCTTAGCTCCTGCAGCAATATGTGATTTCCAGAAAACAGTGCATTCTCCAAATTGTTTTTTGGTTGGAAAGGATAAAGAAGGCCACTAACTGTTCTGTTGTTAAAAACAGCAGAGCTGCTGCACCCCCACTTTGCAAAAAGCAACAACTGAGAGAGCATTTCTAAACAGTGCTCTTATGTGAAGAATAACAACTTGTAAAATTTGCCTAACGGATTTGTGTAACTAATGAGTGGTGCCCATGGCCATTTCTATAATGCCAGCAGCTTCCGGATTTCATCCTCATCCCTTCCTGCTGTTAGCATACGCATACATTAGTGCATGAGCATAGCTATTAAACAGCAGTGGGAGCAACACTGTGAAAATGTGTGAGAAGAAGATGTAGACTCTTCTGGTAGCTGGAGCTAAGGCTGAGTAATATGGCTGCTCCTGCATTGGAGGGGCAGGAGGCACACCGAGGGCTGCAGGGCTTTCTCAGCATTGCTACTCTACCCTGCTTTTTGCTGCTGAGAGCTCTCACCGATTTTCATTTATGCCGTGCTTAGCACATTTCCACTTTGATTCTATAAAAGGAATGACTTGTTCCTCTCTGTTTCGCCTCTGCCATTCTCAGTCCCTTTGAGTCATTCTGCAGTCCCTGGGCTTGGCCCTCATTTCTCACTGACACGGAGTTCACAGCTGCACACAGTCCCTTTGCCGTCTTTTTGCATGAGTGTGAACAACTGAAAGTTGGCAAAATTGATTTTCTTCACCCTGGTTAATTTTAAATAACTTCATAATGTAGGGTTCGCAGAAGCTAATTAAAGTTGACAAGAAATCTGCATGTTAGGCCTGCGGCTTTAGCAGCTCCTCATCTAAAAGCATCTGAAAATCAACCTTATTTATCTTGTCCTAAAGCAACGCGCTGCAAATTTCTCTTTGCTGAAAAAAGTGCCATCTGGTAAAATTTAAATAACATGAATTCCACAAAAGAGGGTGGTTTTATCTGCAAAGACCATACTAATGGGGCTTTGACCATAAAGCTAAGCTCTAATCCTTTCAAAGATGGAAATGCTTGAACAATGATATTTTTTCCAGGCAGTAATGTTAAGTAATGTTGTACCAGAACTGGGAGCAAATTTGTTTAAACTGCGGCGATGTGGATGAGGCAGGGGATAGGAAACAGACCAGTCTTGGGAAGTCACGTTTCTACAGATAGGGTTTCTAAAACAGAAAGTAATCCGGATGTTCTCTTCTGCTAAAGAATGCTGACTTTTTCCTTTAGAACACTAAGGCTTATGTGTAGATTTGTCACATAAATACATTTTTAATAGGGTTGAGGGGAAAAAGAATTTCTTATTACTTCAGATCTCTGCCTTTTGTCTTGGAATGCATGGACTGCAAATTTGCAAGTGTAGTTTGTATGTTGTAAAAAAGCAGCATTCCCCAGTACTTCTCCTGGCTCTTCCCACAAGTCTTGGAATCACCCTTAAAGTAAATCAGCCTGGTAAATGTATGATGATTTTAATTAATCACTGCTGGAGGTGCAGTTGATATTTAAGCATTTGGAAAGACATCATATCTCATATATTCTATATATATCC